ACGCAAAAAATATTAATGTTTTATTTTTATAACAAGTAAATCATTCAACTCAACTAAGCAATTTCTTGTTAAATTGAAGTAATTAAAATATATATCTAATAATTTTCTATTATCTGACTAGCGAACTAAATAATATTTTTTTTACCCAGTAACATCTCTTTTCAAAAATTTTACGTAAATGCATATAATACTCTAATCCGCATTGGATCAGCGTGTAGGGTCATGGCCCATCCTCCTTTACCGTCCATAAGGAAGGCTTGAGCCCCTACAGTGGGGACGTTAAAGGGCTGGTGATGATAATGATATAATACTCACTCAAAAAAGACTCAGGATATCAGTGACCGGAAAAATCAATGAGGTTTTACAGTACAAGAAGATTATAGCGCGTCATATAAAATATGGCCGTCACGTTTGTTTAAAAATGTGAAATAAAATGTCAAAGGAAAAAAATTAAACAGAAACTGTAAATATATTTTCAAGACTACCTATTTGTCATTTTAATTGTACTTCTTTTATGCTTGGATGCACGAAGATTGAGTATATGGAATTTCCACATTATGAAATGCATGTTAATACTAAATCTTTTGGTATATTAGAAGATCCATCACCAGAATCCCTTATAACCTTAATATGCCTTCTACTTTAACAGCAAAAAAGAAGTACAACTACTCGTATTACTTACAATACCTATTTATAGTTCCGATTCCGACTCATCAGAAGATGCTTTACCAATAACACGAATGAAGGATAAGACCCCTGTGAAGTGACAGGAAGAATCCGACTCTTTTAATGAAAATATTTTTTAATCCAATCTGTTTCACCGAAAAGATAGTCTCTTCGGTAGACACAATTTAGATTCATGACTTTCAAATGATTTCATTGAAAGAATATGGGAGTTGGTTAGTATTGCAAGAATAAAATGAATTAAAAATGGAATTGCTTACATTGCAAAGTATTATTAACATGATACTGAATACAACTAAAAAAAATAAATTATTAAATTAACCGCTAATTATTTTTTATTTCACAAAGATATGAAAAACGCCAAATATCAAGCTGCAGGCAGCTGTGGGTACCAGACCACTTCACACTGGATTCAATTCAATTCAATTTCTTCGTTTTTTTTTCTTTTTTTTTCTTTCTTCGTTATTAGATGTGTTCATATACAGTAAATCAACCGCACGTTAAATTCTACAAAACTGCCAAATTTCCCCACTCGATTTTAAATCTTAATTTATTGAGGGTAAATGTCCAAATCCATTGCAGAAATTTGTCATAATGTGTGCAGCTATGTGTACATTCTAAAAGCTGATTGATGTGATGATCATAAACACCCAGTTATAAAAGAACTGCTTACTCCTTGACCGACAACTAAATTATAAAATATTTATTTTTCAATAGTACCAGAAGAGCATAAGTCAATGGGTGTAGGTAAGCTGCATTAGCATAAATATGAAACGATTATTGTTCTGACATCGCCACATACTGTATCTACGCTACAATCCGGTAAGGAGTCGAACCGGCGACCCTTCATATATCAACAGCGCTAGAATATACAGCGTGGTGCAACCGTGTTGTGTAAAGTGGTTAGTATAAGCATAGGTCAATATTTAGTACTCATTAATATTCAGTAGACTGTATCCTGTATTAAATGTGTTAAAAACTAATTTGTGAATATACTTGGGTAATTTCATTACATTTTATACCCAGTTTTGCAGAAATACCACCTGCGAAAATCTGTAGATGATTTCCTATAGTTTATAAAATTTCTAAAATAAATAAATAATTATAAAATGTTGAGGGTATCTTTTTATTAACAATGTTGAAAGATTGCACTTAAATATACATACGAATGTTCTATTACAATTATAATTATGTGTCTTGTCTATATAACAATAGATTTAATAAATGTCAAACGCTTTTCTTTTCGACGTTACAGAGTGTCAACAAGTTACAAAGCAACCGAATGTATGTCATCTGATGTTCGCAGACATGGAGATTTACACTTTGTTATTAAATAAACAGAGATCGTTATTCAATGTCTAGACAGGTTTAGTCATCCCAGCCGTTTTCTTTGAAAGTGATCGATGTTTGGTGATTTGACGAACTGTGTGGTTATAATAGTCAACTAATAACCTATTATAAGGCGTAGCGAATTGTTACTCAATTAATATAAAGCTTGATTTCGTAATGTTAATAATGTGACTTCATAAAAGTTTGTACCAACGTAAAATTTACAATATTGTTAGTTTATAATATCATATCACAGCCAATACTTTATTGCATAAATGATTTAGAAAGAGAAGTGGTTCTATTATATCTAAAGGCGGATTAACCTTAAGATAGAGAAGGCATCCGCCTAGGGGCCCTGCATTCACTATGGGCCCGATTAGGCACTAAATTCTGATTTAAGAGGAGACAAACTGGAGCACCCGCTGTTTGATATAAGTATTTATCGTTTAAATAAGAAATTGAGGCGCAAGTTTTGAGTTTTATGTGATTACACATCCGCCATGAGCGGTAGTTCAAAGGGGGACGCCAAAATCATAAAAGGTAGTTGAAAAGAAATAAAATTCAATTAAATTTAGAATAACTTGTTATGCAATTACAATTATATTTTGACATATTTAATTGTAAATAAAAGTAATTTCTATCAAAGTATGTCGCCCTGGTAGTTGACGTTTCAATTTTGTAATAATTTAAACGTCAACTTTCAGGTGGTCGGTAGAAATTGGTCTCACCGACGAGGTTTACCGCACCACTTTACACAACACGGTTGCACCACGCTGTAAATATAGCGCTGTTGATATATGAAGGGTCGCCGGTTCGACTCCTTACCGGAGTGTAGCGTTGATCCAAAATGTGTTCATGTCAGAACTACAGTCATGTCAAGTTATTGTAGCCTACACGCATTAACTTGTGCTCTCCTGGTATTATAATAATATAATCACCAGCCCTTTTACGTCCCCACTGCAGGTGGGCTCAGGCCTTCCTTATGGATGGTTAAGGAGGATAGGCCATGACCCTCCACGCTGACTCTATGCGGATTGGAGGGTATAACGACTGCAAATGCAGCCGGGACCAACGGCTTAACGTGCCTTCCGAAGCACGGAGTAGCTCGAGATAATAATTTTTGGTCACCCATCCCGTGACCGACCCTTGCGAAAGTTGCTTAACGATTAAGATCGCGGGCCGCGGCGCTTATCCACTACGCCACCGAGCTACTCATAATAAAATAAATATGTTACAATTTAGTTTTCGCTATAAGTTAATTTCTGTGGTTCCCCAAGAAAATCAGAAAGTTTCTTGCTTTCATGTATCGTTGCTAGAATAGGCCAAAAGGATCTAATTGATTTTATTGTTGATAATAAATAATTAAGTTCAAAACTGATAGCCATCTAAAGCAACTTGATGTGCTGCTACGTGTACATTATACATTACTGTCAATACTTGCACTTGTAAGCAATAAATTCGTTTTATAACAACTTTAATCTTTGCACGGTATATATTATGAACATGACTTTGCCATGTTTTATTGCGACACATTAAAAGCATATTTTTTATTAAATGTCAAAGTATTATTTAGATTTTCTCATAGTCTACTGAAATCATTATGTTTCCACCAATGTTGAACAATTTTGACTACTTTTTCCCAAATTTAGTACTTTGGTATCAATTACAAACAGAAATTTGTTTTTTTTTTTAATAAAATATTATTGTCTGTGCAAGGTATTGCTTCGGATAATAGAGCGTCAAAGAATTATTTTTAATGAATTACTTGCAAACTTGACAGTTACATAACTCACAGGTAAAATTTCTAACTCTCAATCGACCCTCGGTTACAAAGTAACTCAAATATTTATCAATTTTCCTCAAAATAAAAGAGTATTAATTACAAAGACTTGGGCTTAATTAGGAATTTTAGTGGTAACTTTGTAGGTTTTTTACACTTGGCTTAGGGATTATTTTAATTAATTTCCAATCACAGCTTATTCAAACTTTATTTATTTATTGTTGAGTTATGTGTATATTTGCGACATCAGAAGCGTGGTGGAGGCATTAGTAAAAACAAACAGGAGCCGAACTATGACCCCTGGTACTAAAGATATTTTAACTTAACGGCTATCGTGACTGCACCATGCAATTCATACATTTGCAATGGCGACATTTTGTATATTTCAAAATTAGTTAAGTATTTATTTGTTTACATGTTACCAGCATAACATAAACATATCGTAGACATTCTTAAAGAGTTAAAATATTTTTTCCATTACACTCAGTATTGGATAAATAATGCAATGTAGGCATAATTTATGCGCGCACGAACACCTACAATTTAATGAGCATTTGTAATTCCACAATAATTACTTTGTTTAAATTTGACAATCTGATATTATTTTTGTAAAACAATAAATCAAGATTTAATGAAATGAAATGGCTTATGCAATCAATTAACATAGCATTACTGCAACAGCAAGCAAGAAAGTATTCACATTATTTTTATAATTTATATTGATCTTATATTTGAAAGTCCAATAATCCAAAAAAATAATTGAATCACTACCTAAATAATACGAGTACATACGAAAGGGTTTTTAGCTATCTTTTTATAACTTCAGGATGTTTCTTGCGCCCTCAAAATTTTGGTGTGCTGAGTATAATTTATTTATTTAAACTTCATTTCACAATTAAAGCATGCAATTGACGGGCTTATTTTGGTATTAGGTTTCTCTACCAGTTAACCAACTGGAGAGTTAAGAAATAGAAACTTTAATAAGGCGGTGCTACACAAAAATTTAATAACTATAAATAGATTAGATTACTTACAAGCTGTAGGAGAATTCAGAAGATTTTCACTTAATAATCGTTTGAAAGTCAATTTATTTGGATTGAATATGTACATTTAAAATACATAAATATTTTTAAAAAATCTACAAAATCTAAATAACAAAATAAATAACTGGTATCTATTTATTTATTTATATTTATCTTTGTTGCAGAAACAATATTGCAACATCAAAACTGAAATATGCTGCCGAATGGAAATCTCCTCTCTCTCAGGCGCTGGAAGTGCCCAAGGATCTTTGGGTGTAGGTTCAGCTACTTTCTCTGGTAGTGGTTCGCAAGGATCAGGATTGTTCGTTACTGGGCAATCGGGCCAAGGAGGCTTCAGTTCAGGAAGCAATAGTTTCGGCTCCGGACAAAGCGGCAGCTCTTTTGGGCAATCGGGAGTATCTAGTCAATCTGGTCAATCTAGCCAATCAGGACAAGCAAGCTTTGGAGCTTCTTTCGGAAACAGAGGAACTTTTGGACAGGGAACGCAGACTAGTCAAACCTTTGGACAGGGCAGTCAAGGAACGTTCGGTCAGAGAAATCAAGGAGGACAAAATAGCTTTGCAAGCTCATCAAACAATGGATTTTCTGCAACTGGCTCCTTCGGTTCTTCCGGTTCTTCTAACTCCGTAAACAGGGGTGTGACATCCGGATTCGAATCAGGTTTCAATACCAACAAGTTTGCATCAGGATCGGGATCCAGCAGCTTCGGAGCTGGCACCGGTTTCTCCACTGCCGCTCCCACAAACCGTTTCGGCGTCAATAACAACGAAGTCTACAAATCAACTAGTCAATCGAACTTCATCGAAACCGACTCTTTCTCCGCCGGAAGCGAAGTAGCCAGCAACTACAGGCCTGGAGCGATTGGGACTGGGTTGAAGCCTGGTATGCCTTATCTACCTCCAGTAGATAACATCAATCAACCAACAATAATAAGCTCTACAAACATCCCTCCCACGTATAAGCCACGTCCAACCACGCCGAGACCTATTACTCCGAGACCCACTTACCGACCGGTGACTTCAACGGCGGCACCTGGTTACTTACCTCCTGAACAAAGTGATTCGAGCAATCAAAGAGAGACGAGGATCCCTGGGCCGAACTTTATCGATGGCGAAATTATTTTAGATGAAACAAGGCCGGGACAGAGACAACCTATACCTGCACCAAGTAAGTTTTTTTCGGCGAAACATTTGATGATATTAAATTAAAGGTGTTGTAATAATATACGACTGCGTAGGATATTACTTCTGCATCTGTAATTTAAAAATCTTAATTTGAACCTTAACTCTTTTCTAGTGATAACTTTGTTATAACTACATAAACAACCTTTCCTTTCTCAGATGAGATCCCAGCTGGCTGTGCGGCCGCTCTGAAGTGCACGCCCATCGAATATTGTACCGCTGAGGGAGTGATTTCAAATACAACTGTTATTTTGACTAAGGACCAGGATGCATACAGAGTACCTCTTACAGTGAGTAGATTTACAAAAGCATAATCCACAATAAGTATTTGATTCGTTACTTCGGTTACATAATATCATGCAGGTTACTAACAACATAAATTATTTATCTGGTACAATATATAAAGATTACATTTTCGATTACATTTTACGTTAATATTGACAATAAAAATAATAATAAAATTAATTATATAGTTCAATATTCTTTTATACAGTTTTCTTTTCTTTGTTGTTGTCAGAAGATGTCTGTGATAGACGGATTTTTTTTTAACTTATGACCAGGAACTTATAACATTCGACAGTAAAATGTTTACTTGTAGAAAAATATTTACTTCGAATCGACTAGTATATACCAAAAGTCTCGTTTGAAATGAACTCTTAACAAAGTTACTTAAACTTATCCAACAGGACTGCAAAGACTTAGAAAGTGGTCGCATTGGCAAATGCTGCAGAGATCCCTTGTACACAGACCCGTGGCCCACCAACCAACTGGGTAAATGGGTTCCCGGGGTTTTCGGCGGTAACGATGGCAAATATGTACCCGACAGCAGAGGGTCCGGGAACAACCCCAGGCCCCAAGTAACTGTTAGACCACCGGGCAACGGTAATGTTGTGCTGAACAGTTTCAGGTGAGATTTTTATATGAAAGTAATCACTCGTTGTTTTTTTTTGTTTAATTTATTTCTATTAATTGTATATATTTGAAATTGAGCTTTTCAATGGACTCAAAAAGATAAAATACCTATGTGGAAATTAATACAAAACTTCTTTCAAACTATCCAATCCAAGTATCGGCAGTTTAAGGAAATCTGTTGTTTTATAAATTAACTTTCCAGGTTTATCCTATTTTTGAGTTTTCACCAATATTGAGTGTATTATGTAATTTGTTATCAATTTCATTTCCTTTTTTTTAGACCAAAACCGACTGTAACGCCTTTTGGACCTAACCAAGTGACTCCTGGATTCCCTACTGGTGGCAATACTGTAACTTCATTTGGACAAAAGGGCCAATTTGGTGTTGGAGGCCAAGGACAGTACGAACAGAGAGGCCAAGGACAGTACGAACAGAGAGGCCAAGGACAGTATGAACAGAGAGGGCAAGGCAAGTTTGGGCAGGGTGGCCAAGGACAATACAGTCAGGGCAGTCAAGGGCAATTCGGTGTGGCCAGTCAAGGAGGTAGTTCGATATTTTATTTATATCCAATATAAGTTTAACTGTTAAATATATTTACATATTGGTGTTGATTGATTTCATCACTCCACCCAATGTGTCGTTAGTGGCAAAGGCAATAAAAAAATTGTATAATAGCTAAATATTTTATTAATTGATTATATTAGAAGGCTTTGCATAAGATTTACAATGCTTACTTTAAGTTTAATCATTTTATTACACGCCTATTCACTTTGGGTTGATTCACGCCCAGAATAATTCAAGTACATAAATGGCATCTTTTATATATCTATTTGAGTCACTAGGGATTGTGTTGTATGTCTGAAAAACGAATATTGAACATTTTAATTTCGACTCAGGACTTCAATAACTAATTATAAATTATGTATAGGTAATCAACTCGCATCGGGTTCACAATTCACAAGCAACACTCAAGCTTTCAAGGGACAAGGGCAATCAGTATCACAAGGCCAAGGGCAAATCGTAACGCAAGGCCAGGGACAGTTGGTGACGCAAGGCCAAGGACAATTGGTGACGCAAGGTCAAGGACAATTTGGGTCGCAGGGCCAAGGACAGTTGGTGACGCAGGGCCAAGGACAGTTGGTGACACAAGGTCAAGGACAATTTGGGTCGCAGGGCCAGAGACAACTAGTGTCCGGAGGACAAGGGCAAATCGTGACACAGGGCCAGGGACAGTACGTCGAGAGGGGCCAGGGCTCGTACACCAGCGGTGGAGGAGGACAATACGCTGTCGGAGGACAAGGCCAACTTGAAATTCAGGGAGTTGTAAGTTATTTATGAATCACAAATTTCATACGCGAATATCTCCTCTTATCTATTTATTCTGTGTGCCTATACATACATGCTTGATTTATATCAAATCCGTACGATACGTAAATAACTCCGTAATGGGCATTAAGCGTACCTCAAGTTGATATTGATTGTTATATGAGAATATAACAATTACAATACAGTCCCTTCAACACATCAGATATATTTTAAAGTCACTAAAAGATCCGGATGTAGTAAAATTATTAAGATACTTTTAATGACCATATATTAATTTGATTATACCATAAGTACCGTGAAAATTAATTTTACAAAACAGTAGGCGCTACGCTTCGTTAGACGATTCCGTGTTTTTTTGTATTTTTTCCGTAAAATAATATATCATGGTGCATATTTTATGAACTCGACCGAAATGTATACCCAATCTACATATTATTAGTAGCATGTAACACTATAAACTGAACGCAGGTGATTGCAATAAGAATTTAAGTTTTTTACGGGAATACAATATGATAAAATATATGTTAAATTGATGTGGTTAAACTTCACGAAAATCCATTTTCATAAAATTAAAATTGAACTACCCTTTTTGAAAAAATGTTTTGGTAAATCTCAACATTAACTATATTATAAAGAAACATGGAATCCCTTCCGCCCGTGTCGGCTCGGAGACTAATTTTGTTTTGCACATATTTTCTATCGACACTTTAAATTAAAAAATAAATTTCCATTGTCATAGGGAGGCCAAGGACAGTTCTCCCAATTCTCAGGAGAAAGTCAAAAGACATTTGGCCAAGGGCAAGGTGTTAGCCAAGGGCAAGGAATCGGCATCATCACTGGCCAAGGACAGGCAGTCAGTCAAGGACAGGGATCAGGTGTAGTGAGAGGCCAAGGGACCGCTGTTACCCAAGGGCAAGGTGCTTTCGGTGTTTCTGGACAAGGTTTTGGTGTTAGCGGTGGATTCGGTACTGGTTATCGTCAAGGATTTGGCCAAGGTAAGCTTGATATCTATCAATATTATGTAAGAATTAGCTTAGCTTCTAATAAATTAAATCGTTCAAAAGATTTTAAAGACGCATTGTAATCTCATTCGATTACAATACACGTTTTCCGTCATTGAACTGGTTGAAATCAGTTCATCTGATTTTTACTGCCAGGATAGATTTTTAAAGTTTTTATTAACATTTTCATTGTCTGAAGACACTTTCTGAAGTTCTTTTAAATAACAAAACCGCTTGTAAACATAAATATTATAATAAAACTTCACACAGTTTACTTTTTATTCTGATTGGTTAGGTATCATCACTGGCCTGGGACAAGAAATTAGTCAAGGAATTGGATCTGGCATTCGCCAAGGCTTTGGGCAAGCACTGGTCCAAGGCGAGGGTCAGACTAGCGCATCGGAACAAGTGTACAGAGTGTTCTTGGGAAAATACAACGGCGGTAGCGGCCAATGTGGTGTACTGAACGTAAGTGCATTTTTAAACATTTTTTATTTTATTTTTTCACGCTACTTCCTTGCATACTATTCAGAAAGGACCGAGAAGTACACGATATAACAATGTATCACGTTATAATATTTTCTTTATGTGGTTTATTAATATTAAAACTCGTTTTCTTAATTACAATTTATTTAATATATTCAAATCATAATTGAATTGCAATCACGCAACAATCAATTAGGAGTTAATATCAATATTTAGACGTCGGCGTAAGATAAAAATTGGCCAGTGGCGGACTAAGGGCAGGCAGAGGGGGCTGTCCGCCCCGAGGTCCCCGGGGGCCTCCAAAACGCTGTAGGCATCCGCCAAAATCATAAAAATATAATAAAGTTAAAAATGTATATGTATGGGGGAGGGGGGGGGGGGTTGTAAATGCAATATCAAGTTTCTAGAGCCTAATGCCTCCTCGGACCTCCGAGGTTCCTCATTAATGAAATTAAAATTCTTTTTGTCAGGTTTAATGAATAGTATAAGGGATATGATATTTTTATCACAATAGATGGAGACGTGCAGTTGATAGCCTAAATAGAAAATTGAGTGACATTCCTAAGCTCACTGCTTAGGATTTTTGAGATACAGCGTTTAAAAATCAAAGTGTCGTTTTACGAAAATATCTAACGTTTAATTATTACTTTACGTGTCGAAACGAATATCTCATTAACTGAGATGACATGACATTCAAACACATCACTATGGTTTTGCAATAGGTGAAAAATGTATAAGGTTGTATAGTAAGATTTGATAGATTAATCCACACGTTTCTTTAAGGTTTACTGAACGATCGTGAAATTTAAACAATGTTGTCATAGGTTAGCTATGAGATGGGGGGCCAAAAATGTTATCCAAGCTTGTCATAATGAGCTCGTTTCACCATGGATCATATTTTTGTTGACTGTTAACCAAAATGCATACCTTTATGTAGATGTCGTCCTTACTGTTTTCAATTTAAATATTTTATAGTTTGATAATTAAAAAGTAACAATATATGCCTTGTAGAAAGAAAATATTGATATTTCTCATAACGTCGGTAACAAACCTAATTCCATTTAACAATCACAACATTAATTTATGTATATGGGCGACTTAGTCGAGTAGACAACGTGCCTAACGATGACGTCAGAAACCATATATTCATGTCATAATTATCATATGACAAAGTGAATTAATATGTCATGTGATTAAATATGTAACCATTGTAGATTATTGTATGCCACCGACAACTTGCCTTATCTGTAGTCAACATTTTTGTTACATTTTTCTTTCCGCATTTCTTCATCACCTTCTTTTTTCTTTCTATATTATTATACCTTGTTGGTTTCGCGTTCTGGCGGTATCCAATAACCGTCTCGGGCAATGGCGACCAAAACTCGTGCAAATTCACATGACACCTAAAGACTTATTCTATTCCTCCGAAACTAAATTGATAATACATATACGACAAACTAATACGACTTCAAAGAAACGCATTTTTCTGTTATGTGTATGTATTCCGAATTTTCGTTCGAGGACAAATAGAATAAGCCCTCATCACAGTCACAAAACAGAATGACATTCTACTCAATTGTTGTAACAATAAACTAATAATAAGCACACATGCTTAATATTTGTGGACACTATAGATATCAGACAAAGATAAGATAAAGGGTTCAACAAAGCTTTTACTTTTAGAAACAATAACAAAGTTACTTGAGCCAAACGACTAACACCGACCATTAATAGACACTGATTTATATCTATTCACCAAGAAATATTCTACTTGAGACTGGTAATAAATTCATTTTAATATGTTACTATTTCATATAGTCAAAAGTTAATGTATTCATATATTGCAAGGGCCGGATACCATCAGACACCGACCTTAGGTTACGTAAACCTAACCGAGTTATAAATGAACATGAATGCTGAGCTTAAATAAATATATTTGTACTGACTTACCTACCTGACTAACTTCTTTATGGTAAAAGAAGTTTAATATTTGCGTTCAATTTTTGTTATTTTTTTTTTTTACATTAGAATACTTCGCGGACTTGGTGATTTACAAAATAAATACGAAAATGCATTGGATTTAATATTTAAGCATAATTATAAAAATATATTGGCATTCTTCAGTTCTTCTCCATCACGTATTTATATAATGATTTGACGACCACCATGTGCGAATGGCATTCCTGAGGTCTCAAATTCACTTCTTGTAGGATGAATCAGTCACCCAGTGATAGGTCACAAGAGATAGGTCTCTTTTCGCGCTGGATATCATAGTGACGTCACAGACATTAATTATTATAAAGTAAAACTCCTAACACTGTATGATATACTGGTATATTTTGCATATGTTGTATTATTTTAAGATTTTTATATTATCGGATCTCATACCTATTATAAATAAATTGAAAGTAAAGTCATATAAAACTAGTTAATTAAAAAACTTGTGTCATACCAACAAGGTCCATCTCCAATTAAAATCTAACAATTATTTATCAATATTTTATTATTTATTGGTACCAGCTCACTAGTAACCTTTCATTAACGTTTAAATTTGCCATAACATAATGAACGCATAAAAATCAAATATCGATAAGCTTGCGACATCCAATAACTAATTTTCGAATCCATTCATCAAGAAGACCTTGTTCGATCGCTGATTTTAAATTGCGTTTATAAAAACTTCTGTACTCAGAATGATATTGTACAAATTTGGATATTGACACTTGACATTAGAATCGCTATAACTATGTGATTCAATATTATAGTTTTATGACCATTAATCTTTATACCATTTAAAAAAAAATGCTTATAACGTTATATTATATTATTTCTCATTTACTTTATAAAAGATTGGAAACCGAATTGGATTTTTATCAAACGAGTTCAATAAAAGAGATACTTACACGTAGATATATATATAGTAATGTACTTATATACCTAATATAAGTTCAATATAATTATTATAAACTTTCTAGAAGTCTGTAATTTTTTACATACAGATACATCACTACAAATAGTAGCTCTTCAGCATTTACGTCACTAAATTCTTCCTTAACTATTTCTATTGATTACATTTTTCTACGTGTTTGGGGTTCCAAAATGAACCCGTCACCTGCGACAATTTTGAGAATTGCAGAGAAAATTATGAATTTAAGAGTTTAAAGTCGTATCTAAATTTTGTTTATAATAAAACTAGCTCTTCGCTAGCGTCTTCGCCCGTATGTTCCTATATAAGTAGTACTCTTGAATCACCCTGTATATGAATGAAAACTGCAATAAAATATGTTATTTAGTTTAAACAATCTCAGCGTGTAGACAGAGAGAAGCGACTTTGTACTATGTTAGATACCAAATATCTTGAATTATGAGATATTTACGGGTATGTTATTTACTAGCAGCAAATGATCATTAAACTTATGCCAAGCAAAGAGTATTGAAGATTTATCAGCAAAAAAAACGTGATCGAAACTTTAATTTGCTATTCTGATTAATTGTTTCTAGGGTCAAAAACCTTACGGCAATCGTAACGACTTGGAGGTTGATTTCGCTGAAATTCCATGGCAAGCGATGGTACTGCTACAAACCAACAGGAGTCTCCTCTGCGGAGGTGTTATAACAAGACCGGACGTCGTGCTCACGTCTGCTTCTTGTGTTGAAGGGTGAGGGAATTCTGCTACTTGATTTTCTGGTCGCCTGGTACTTATTTAGGAGGAGTTACAAAAGCGTTAATTGCCTGAATGCTATTTTTTACTTCAATCAACATTATCAATGTTAAGATTTACGAGTATGCATAGTTTTACACCAAACCATATCTAACACTTTCCATATAGAGACTCAAGTTAGCTGTTGTAAGTAGGTTAATGACTCTACTTAGGCGCTGTTAGGTATTTATTATAAACTAACTCATCAGCAACATTCCTACTAAAAGCGGACTTATTTAGTATAATGTTACCAGGGCATTAATTTCAACTAACAGGCACTCATGACTTAATAGGAGATATAACTTAAAATAAAAACTACTAACCAACCCTTCCGTTCCAGATTGGACGCCAAAAACGTACTTATCAAAGGAGGCGAATGGAAACTGGGCATCGACGATGAACCGCTACCATTCCAGATTGTCCAAGTCAAAACTATCCTCAGGCATCCGTTTTACAAATCAGGCAGTTTGAAACACGACGCCGCTATCTTGGTTTTGTCTGAGAATCTCAGATTAGCGAAGAACATCTACCCAATATGTCTGCCCGCCGCATCTGACACTCTGGATGCGTTCTACAATGGAGCCGGTGAATGCATTGTCACAGGATGGGGAAAACAAGTATTACAAGGTAAGAAAATCATTATATTAGTACTTAAATGACAAATTACAAAAACATTTAAATCAATCTCTTTTATGTGCTAAAGGTAACAAACAGGAATTAAAACAGTTACGCCAACGTAGGGATATTAAAAAACCTGAATTTACTTTGATAAAAACAAATTAAATAAACCGAACTTTTTAAGGCAGCTCATTCTGCATACCAAAAAAAAACATAACACTTTCTTTACTGATGCGTTGAAAGACCGGTTAACTTACATAACTTTAACCCTAGAGTTCAGTGTGATCGATATATAACTTACTTACCAACCGATGATATAACTCTTAAAATGTTAACTTATTTTTTTGTCTTTTCAATCATGGACCTGTTTTTTTTAATTTAGTTCGTAGCTGTCAGGTATTTGCGTAATTTTATCATTTAATTAACAGAATACAGTGATCTAAATGTTGGTAATAAATAAAGCGGTGTCACATCAGAAAGTGATACTTTTTTTGTAAAGGCAATTGGATAGTATGAAATATTTAAAAATACACGACGCCACAAAATCGATTTGATTTCTTTCTTAAATTCTTTCAATATGGATGTAAGATAACACACATATAGTATTTATGACCTCAATAAAGGTTATTCCAATCAAAATTTAACGTTTCGTGACATAACTTCTATTAAAATAGTCAACGAATATTCTCAACATATGATTCTATTATATACTAGTTTTTCGCAAGCGTCTTCTCCCCCGTGGACCTATATTATATATACTTCTTGAATCACCTGTACATTGGTTAAAAACACATATAGTTTATGTGTATCTGTGACCTCATTAAAATCCGTTTTAAGATAATCAGCAGGAAAGCGACTTTGTTTTTTATACTATATATGTATAGATTAAACGTAAAAATATATATTATATACCAGGGCAACATGGAAGAGTAGAAGGTTTTCTTGTAGCGACCAACCTCGGGTTGGCGACGCGACGCAAATGATTCTATTGCAGTCAGCAATATCATAAAAATATTATCATCATTTAATTTTATTTTCGTATGAATAATTTATTCAAAATTAATTTATTATATAGAACTTGTATCATTAACGTATCAAGTACATTTTAAAGTAGAACCGAATTGACCTTTAAAAGTGTTACTTATCAAATTGCATTTACCATAATCACCATCTCAATTACCGATTTAATTTATACGAGACTTTTCTGATTAGACACTGAAAAATAAATATTTTCGTAAAAACATTATTTGAATTTTGATGACATGTTAAGAAATACTCTGTCTAGCAGTCTCTGCTTTTCCTATCTAATGTCTTTTTATTATAATATAAGATTGTTTTTTTATGTATTATATTATAATACATTACATAATGACTAATGCGAAAATAATATGCCTTGTATTGAATATTTATCATCTAATTAGTGCTAAAATTAAATACCAAAATTAAAAATAGTATCAAAGGGAATTACACTTTCAAATCATAGATAATAATTATTTCGAGGATTAATTCAAAATAGAACATAATATTGAGTTCTTATAAAATCACATCAAAGACATTTAGTCGGTAGACACACTGGAGGCTTAATATATAAAATACGGACTACGAAAGGATACAATAAATAACATATGCAACAAGTAACATTTGAGCTACCTCAGCATTTCTCGAATTTTCTATATTTCTTTAATTAAAAGAACCCGACCTTTTTTTCTAAGACACGATTTTAGAGTATACTCTTAAGTTAAAATAATCTTTACTCAATAAACTTATTAATACACCAGAACGATACTCATCGGCTGTATCAAGAGTAACGTACGTAATAAATTTATTTACAAAATCCATGTCATTACTAATTGATTATATTGACATAATTTGTGTGTAACAAACAACTGAATTCATAGTCACCGATTACAATAAGATTTTAAGTATTTTCAAACAAACAAAAAGCACATGTTTTTTATAGAATAAATAGTTAAAGGTAATATACTGTACTGTACATTTAATTAACTTTGAATTTAGGAAGGAGTGGTAAGTAATTTGATAGTGCCTTGTAAATGGGTACGCTATCCATTAAATTGGAAACAGTCAAACTCGCCATATAGGTGAAAACGGAGAGTGCCAATACCGAGAGCCGCTTGTAGGTCATTGCCGATAAGTAGCGTCGGCAAACAAATTCATAGTTTTATGTTGGACTATTTAGAAATTTTTAAATAGACAGAAGTGGTAAAATCACTAATTTTAATAAAGTTTTAAACAAAACACTATTCTGTTACTGATACAAATAAATAAAATTGATGTGTCTGTTTTGAACATTACATGACACGATTTTTCTTTTTTACACTTTTTCTATCTGTCTGGCTGTTTGTTCTGGCTTATCTCTTAAACGACTGGACCGATATTGACGGGAATTTCACTGGCAGATATGTTGCTTACATAATAAGGAGTACCTTAAGCTACTTTCCACGCGATCGAAGTCGCTGACGACTTATAATATAATGTACATATTTATATTTTTTTCTTCTCCTTGTTATACTCATAATAACAATCATAATTATCATTTTTTACTGAAGAACATGGTTTGTATAAAGTTGTCATAAAATTTATAATGTTCACATGATTTGCTATTGTATTTTTTTTATAAATGTTGATTACTGAATTGAAAATACCTACAGTTTGATAAAATTAGTAGGGAGTAAAAATTTTATAAAACTATATGTTCATCGAAAATAATCCACACCACATATTTTAATATATAAAACATAAACTTTTAAAGAAAATTAGTGTAAATATTACTTTTTTAAAGTAGGTAGAATACTTATTTATAACCCACCACAATCGAATAATCAAGAACACAATATATACTTTTGAAAAACAATAATTTTGATCTTAACAATGAAGAAATGTGTACTACAAGTCATAAATAAATAGCAAAATCATGTACATTGTCATTTAATAAATATTACGGCCTTTTTTTAAATTCGAAATAAACTTATTTGCCGGCCACCATTACCAAAGACAAGGACGAGGAGTGATATATATCGCAAGATTTATATCACTCTTCCATTCATTTATAAAAATTTTGAAAATCAATATCCGGATATAAATTCTGAAATAAAAGCACCGATTCTTGTAATAACTTAGACGTGCAGTTTCTACGATAGGAACATAACATATTTTTACTCAAATTTAACATAACCAGTACTTTACAAAGAATGCCTTCAAAGTTTTGGATTTTCCCAGTCAATATGAAATGTATAATATTATTATACTCTTCCTTGTATTGTTATGGACATAACCTACCAATGATGTCTTGACATCATTTAATTTAAAGTATAAAAACTATTTCTTTGTTCAATTTTTTAAGTTATTCTGATTAAAAAACTTTATTGAAATCCCAACCAAATTATATAAAACATTTAATAAAAATAACTGGTTTTCAACAATCCATTAACAAAAGATATGTTAAACAAAAAAGGCTTCTTGTTGTTCGAAAAAAAATGCTTTAATTTAATACCAAAGTAACAATAAGCAAAGAAAATGCGACTTAATAAAAGATATTCTTATCGATAACATAAAAAATGGCCATCCAAGGCGATATGCAAAGCTTGACATTGTTACTAACCAAGGTTAAAAATATACAAGATTGCTCTAAGTCAATAGATAAATTTACATACAAACGTACATGAATAAATTTACTCGAGCCGCGATGATGCTATAAAAAAATGTGTCAGTCCGTCGAGTTGTTACCGCTCATTACAAGAGGGCGGATTTCGGCGCCTTATTGGTAGCATAGAAATGATTGATTTCTTTTCAAATTTTCTACTTTCCCTAGCATTACCGCTACCGTGCTAACATACACAATATTAGCCTACGATAATATATTAGCTTCCTTATGGATGGATGGATGTAATCGAATAGGGAGAATCAGCCATGCATGTTCCTCCTTGTGAGCTCAGTGAGGATCGGTAGGTGTCAACGACAGCAGATGCAGCTAATAGTTAGTCCCGCTAACGGCTCAACGTGCTTCCGAAGCCCGTAGGAGCTTGAGATAATTCATTATTGTCACCCATCCTATGATGGGCCTTTGCGAAAGTTGCTTTTTCTCCCACATCGCAGACAAACACGCACTAACCGATGCGTAAAATATATATCGTGTTGTATTTATTAACCTTAAGTCCAAAGTATTACCGTAAATAGTCGTATAGTTTTTTTATATTATTTAACAAAGTAACACTTGTGAATTTTCATTTTCTTAGAAAAACTGGATACAAATTAATTTTATTTATTTTAACACAAACATAGTACACAGTACATGTTGTAAATAATACTGCACTAAAAACTTCAAGTTCTTGTTATTATGTCACAATAATAGGTATTGACGCAATTGCACCCACATGCGAAAATTCTCATTTTTGCTAATTAAATATAAAAGATGGATGGATTGTTAAAGTTTTTTTGTTTAATTTATAGCTAAGTTTTCATACCTCTTATGATATATTATTTCAACTAAATGCCCTCTACCAACTAAATGATTGTTAGGAAAAATTATCACACTTAAGTTGGCTTTCTAAGTTTTACCAATAATTGTATTTATCGCGAAAATTTCGAACAACTCTAGAGAAAACAACAAATGTTATTTTTTTACTTTTTTGGCACATAATGGTACGGAACCAAACCTTCGTGCACGAGTCCGACTCGCAGCTGGCCTGCTTTTTTTAATAAAGGGCATTAGGGCCTGTCGATTTCAAAATATACGGTCAAATTCAAACATATAAATAAATAGTTACAAGAATCTCAGATTTTTTCTCACCGATCAAGGTAAACTAGTCGAAATTTCAAATCTAAGATGAATAAGTTAAATTTTTTTAACAAATAAAACCTCAGAACCAGAAGTATTTAATTATTTTTTCTTGATTTTTAATCAATAATAAACTAGCACCGTTGTCAAATTTCTTAAATATTCTAAAACTTTATAAACATTGTATAACTGTAATTTTATTAAGAAGTAACTAAATACCTCTACATCTCTAGAATTATGCTGCCCGTTTAACATACCTGACCGACATACTAACAGACTGATATTTATATTTATTATATATTTTTTTTATTCAACTGTATTCCATACATATCAATTAATCATATTATTTAGTCCATAAAAGATACATTGATTTATAATAGCTCAATTACAATTCGTAAATACGAGTATTTGTCTCATACCCATTTTTTCAATAGTTTTCTTTTATAATATTTTCATATATTTATTTTGTTAACAGTCAAAAGTTTCAATTCCATACGTAAACAAGTTCCGTCGTAGTCAGTCACGTTGACTTGTTTTGTTGACGCTACCGGCTTCAACCGGTTTGTCATCCAGCCGATGTCCAATATATGAACATAAACACTATGTCCGTCGGTACGTCACCGAGTTGTGTAACTCCTCGATAAAATTCCGCTTCATAATGTTGATGCCAAAGGTTTATTTATTTTTTTATAATACCAATAACAAAATGGAGGTAATTCAGATTGAGAGAAAAGCTCACTGGCGATGGCGTAGTGGTTCGTGCGTACGGTCCGCAATTGCAAAGACCTATTCTGTTTCTCCGAAAACAATTCGTCTATTTTCGAAACACTTTTTAAAAATATTTATTATGCATCAGAGGTACGTTATAACACTTCTTCCGGTGCACAGGTAATCTTCACTGATATGATGTTAACAAATTATAACAATATTGCCAAAGTTTCCGAAATTTCGTTCGTGGACAGAGTAGCCGTCAGGTTAAGCAACAATAATAGAATTTTGTAATGTCATGCAACATGACAAAATTATATTATTTCGATCTTCTCTGTGCTTTCGGAAGGTGTGTTTATTATTTCGATAGGTAAGTTGGTTTTTGGTTCGATTGTAGGGCAATAATAAATTAGAATACCATTCCAGCTCTACGGTATACCATTTTCGGGAGATGAGACTAGGGAAACCATGGCTGAGTCACCAAGACAATGATTATTATACATAACAAAAAAAAACGGAATTGCCCATAACTCTTCTGAATTCATTTTCTCGACAAAACAAAGGAAAATCTTAAAAACAATATGCCAAAAATTATGAAAAATAAAACTCACGTATGCATCGTTCGAAGGTCTTCCGATGGTCACATTCCACGCACGCACACTCATATTGACAGTATTATTTAACAGTATATATACAGCATATAAAAGTAAAGGCCGAAATACACAAAAGAAAACATAGTGTGATACTATGTTGTCAGACTGCAGCAATATGTGTATAACTTACACAACCAAATACCGAGACGTGTTGAATACAAGTTAATAAACAATTGAACTTTAGTTAGCTAATATAATTAAGTAACAACAAGCATAAACTTAATGCTTTTGATGGTGTCACAGTTGGTACGAGCTAACCGATTCACAGAGAGACGTTATTCATACGTATAAATTTAATTAAACTTATTGAAACGCAAAATAACAACATTATTTTTATATAAAAGCGATTATAAATATCGACCACCATAAGTGGGAATCGAATAATAGAGCTCTCACCTTCCGCAGTGACCATGTATTAAAAAATAAAATGTCAACAAGACATTTTATTTCTCTTATTTACTTCTCAAGTTTTTTTTATCTAAATGTTTTTATAATATCTTTTAGACAACATTACACATATTGCTCAGATCCCAAGTAGCTAAAACACTTGTATTATGGAAATCTGAAACATCTTTACACCCAGACCCGAAACATAATAGAAAATGGGTAAATTAAAATAAGTACAATTTCAAACTTCATATATGGAGAGCCAATGGACATTATATCACTTAATTTATATGCTTTCATTAGCACAAAATTTTAGGAATGCTCAGATTTGGATTTAGCATACAGACTTCAATTTACAACTGTTGTTGGCGTAGTCCTTATTTCCATATCATACACACGACATGTACGAATGCACGTGTCAGTAAACTCTTTGCTAATACTTAGAAAATTCATATCTTTGCTAATTACTAAAAACCGACCCAATGCTAGTTGGACTCGCGCACGAAGGGTTCCTTATCAAAAACGAGCAAAAAAATAAATCAGGCTCTTTTGTATTAAATAATTTAAATGTTTATTTTATTCTGATTTTTAGTATTGGTAACAAAAATACATCATCTGTGAAAATTTCAATCTTCTAACTTTCGCTTCATGAGGTACAACCTGATATATACCATTTTACTTTTTGAGTACGGAACCCCAAAAATTAATGAATAATTTTATAATAATTTTGATATTCAATGTTTCAGTTACTTAATATATCATATTGACTAGCTAAGTACTTAATTATTTTTTTTAAGTTGACCTGTATGTCATAACTGATAAGTATCTGATTAAAACAGTTTTAAGTGTGCTGTTTTTTTATTGGAACTAGTGAAACTAGTAAATTATATAAATAGCCTATGTCACACGTGTATGATGTAGCTTTCTGTTGGTGAAAGAAATTTTCAAATCGGTCCCGCATTACTAGTTTCGGAACCTATTCAATACAACCAAGAAAACAATAAAATCTTTAATTATATAAATAATATATGATTTAAATTATGACGTTTCTCCATTAAAATGCACTTGTGCAATTTATTTAACCCCATATAGGTACATGAAGTTAAATCTTGTAGAACTTGCCGCAGGATATCACTGAACTACCTTTCCGTAAGTTTAAAGCTTATGTGATATTCTCACGCGCGAGAAAAGTTTCACCAAGTCGTGTATAATATTACAGAATAAAGAATATTTTGACTAAGACACACGCACAGTTCAAAGCCTACATTTTTAATACATACGATGAACATCCATACTAGTTATTATACACGCGAAAGTTTGTAAGTGTATGTGTACGTTTTCACGCCCATCACACCAATTTTAATGAAAATCCATACACAGTGTAGACTGCACTGAAAAAAATGATAGCCAACTATGTGGCTCTTAGTTGGCAAAAAAAAAATACTTCGGTTACTTTAACATTGTATATTTTTACTTTGTTTGTTTGAAAGGTAAATTGTTAACTCAAAAAAGAACTTAATCAAGATAACTGAGACATTTTTTACTTTAATAAGGTTTATAGTTAAATGGACTCTCTTCTTTTTATCTGTTTAAGCTGAGGTCATATTTGCATCAACAATTGTTGGTTGTATGATTAACATAGCACAAAGTCTAAATAATCATTAGATATGTTAAAATGAACAATTTTTATCTTCCTTTCAATGAAAATAAATATAAAATTAACTATTTTTAAAGCTAAATCAACTAAGTTACATTGTTGAATCAATTGAGAATTTACTTAGACATACGAAGATCATGTGTTGCATTGTCAATGCGCAATTTTATAACAATCACTGGAAATTTTACAGTAAATTAGTTCTATAGCTGAATTAAACAAGATAATAGCAAATTATATTACTTGTTTTTTTTCTATCAACATACATTAACAGTTGAAGCAATTAACTTGTTCAATTATTACAATCATGACTGCTTTGAATTAATAACGTCCATGTTGAGGGGGTTGATATAAGCAATGAAAATACGAACGGCGATAATAAACGAAGCCGGGGGTGCAAAGTTAGTAATTTATATTTATATAAAAAAAAAAACACTCTGGAGCACATATAATTTGTAGCTTTATTACTTTTATTTATAGACAACGGAGACTGCAAAAGGTTCTAAACATCTAAAAATATAGGTAATAAAATCTGTTTAATACACGTGCACATAAACTTGCTCATAAGTAGTTTTATTAACATATCGTGTGGACGGAAATACATATAATTTTATAAATCTATATTTATAAATTTTTGCTTTAGGCTATATCATTCGCTATAACGAATGTAAAGACATCTCGAGTTATGCAATACTAAATTTATATGCCTGTGACCTTTACGTGATTCCAATAATGTAATAAATATTGCAATTAAATATAAGAATATGTATTTTATTACTTTCTGTATAAGCCGAGGCGTTTATTGAAAATAACATTTCATTAGGAATAGCTTTTTCACCGTAAAAAGTAACCTATAGCAACGAAGCTTTCCAACAATCCATAAAAGACCTTAACGTACACATTACAAAGCTCCGTTGCGAGAAACATAGACAAAATACCATATACTTATACCTATGAGCATCGCACGAAACTAATGCAACTAGCAATGAAACTAATTCATGAAACTACTTTCGTGATGTAAATCAGGTTTTTATTAAGATCATAAAAATCACAGTTAAGATTATTAAAACTTACAGGACTCTAGAGGAAAATGTTATAGAAACATTTTTTTTTACTTTATATTTTACGTAATAATTTCTTAACAGAGAAAGAGATGGGCAATTCTCACTTTTTGCAGAAATCATAAACTGATAAAAAGTCTTCTATATTGATATTAAAAAGAAGGAAGATTTAATTGGATGCTACATTATGCGCAGGTTAAAATAGGCTAAAATATACAGGGGCGAAGTCACGGGAAAACAGCTAGACTGTAATAAGTGTATTACGTCTAACAACACATATTTGAAATTACTCACACTACCTGTTGTATTGTTCCAGCCCATCTAGCTGGCAGCATCATGCACAGCTTGAACGTGTCCCTCATCAACCCTGGCGAATGTCAATCCAAACTGAACTCCGACTACCCTCACCTGGTGGAGCAGTACGACCAGGAGAGCTGCGCGTGCGGTCAACCGCTCAATCCAGTCAATAACATATGCAAAGTAAGTGATCACTTCCCTGCTCAGACGTCGGCATCAAGGCGTCACTGTCTTAGCTCCCGGGGTCTATTCTCGGCTGGGTCAATAAAGAAACTATACCACGTAGTCTCTACTCCCAAACCAGAGTGGTTCAGTTAGTGCTTAAATTGAGTCAACTTAGAATTTGAATCATTAATGTGAAAAAAGGGCTAACAAAACGGCATGACATTTAGCAAAAAAATATATAAATAATACAAGAAGGACAAAAGATCGTCAAGATTAGGAGCTTTACAACATTTATTACACACTAAAGCATGCCCTGATGGCATGGTTACCGCACGATTTTGTTTCTAAACTATTCTGAAACGTCCCAGCATTGTATATCTATGTATATATCCATTTTATTTATGAAACAATATCGATTATAATTTTAAAATTAGATGAAGTGTATTAGATGAATGAAGTGTAATTAGAAAATTTCTTTAAACAGGTTTTTTCAATTGTTTTATAAAGCATATTATTTAAATAGCACTGCGAAAATTAAAGATTTGTCTTGTAATTAATTTCAGGTCGACATTGGCAGCGCGCTCGCCTGCACCACTGATAACCAACACTACGTACTGAGAGGCGTCTACTCCTGGGATTCTGGTCAGTACTATACTCCAATACTAGCATAATCCTGCAACTTTTGATCACATGAATCTCACTTAGTCGTTTACTTCTATGATATATAGGGTTGACAACCGTACTCTAAACGAGAGTAGAATTATATAATTATATGATCGCGTACTCTACCATCTATAACACTAATAGAGGATGCTAAAGTATATTTTTTATACAATTTTTATTATACTTATGCCAATCATGCATAGATAATGCATACATTTTATCGTACCCGAACAAAAGTTACTTTTTTAAATAATGTTGTGTGTGATGCTCGGTGTTAGATATCCTTAGGTCGTTTCTTTTCTTCGGTTCACTGTAGTAGTTTATTAAATGAAATCACCGCATTATTCAACATAAGAGAAAATTTATTTTTACACACATTTGTAACATTAATTAGTTTACTTACAATAAGGTAATATTTAGCCCTAAAGACTACTTAAAAACTATTTAATCTTTGTGGCTAAAGTTCACAAGAGTCTCAAATTCAAAAAGTTCAAGAAGACCGACAAAACGGCTTTTAAATCCAACTTTTTGCTACGCAAAGTAATTTGTGTTCATTCTGCACTGGACAGAATATATAAAAAATGCAATTTAAAAACCTGCTTATTATTCTGAAGTTAGTGAAATACGTCTCAACAGTAGTAATATAAAAATTACGGTATAATGAGTAATATTAAAAGTGAAACTGATTACTCTTAAACTAAAACCTGCCTCTCATTATTTCCAGGATGTCAGACCGGCAACCAGCTCGCCGCATTCTACAAATTCGACTTGGAATGGTACGAATGGGCCATCGGTCTCGTTGAGAGTGTCAGATTCGCCAAATACACGATTGGAACAAAAGTAACCACCAGTCAGTTCTCCAGTCAATTGAACAGTGCTGTTAAAGGACAGTTTACCGGAAACGTTAAGGGTAGCCAGTACGCAGGCGTGAAAGGTACTGGTGTATCCGGAGGAAGCTCTACCGGAAGCGGGATCTCCGGAAGCAGGATAACAGGCAGCGGTATTTCGGGGAGTGGATTAGCCGGAACTGGCTTGACTGGAAGTGGAGTCGCTAGCTCTGGTCAATTCGGATTCAGTCAGTTCGGCACGAAATTCTCCGAAGCCCAATCGAACGGCTTCAACGCGGGAATAACAGCGCCCATCACCAACAGCTTCAGTGCCTCGTACTCCGAAAAGAAAGTATTCCAAACGGAACCTAAGATAATCACTTACACTACTAAACCCGAAATCGTCACGTTCACGACGAAACCCGAATATTTCACGTTTACGACGAAACCGAAAATTATTACTTACACAACTAAACCTAAAATAGTTACTTACACGACTAAACCGCAGATTATTACTTACGAAACATCTGGAAGTGGCACCAATCCTCAATACGTAGCGCCTGGAGTCACATACAACCCTTCATTCGCCGAAATCACTGGTCTACACAAACATAACGCACAGTGCAAATGTCTCGAAAAAGGTAAAAAATGAAAATAATATCCAGAAAAGAAAAGAGTATTGATATATTTTTTTAATTGGTGTCAAAAAAGTTATGAGGTGTGCCATAAAAAAGTTTTTAATCAACCAGTACAAATATCCGTTATTTAAACAATTTAAAAAAGAAACCCATTAATTTAACGAGTTCCTATACGGTTACCATCACCTGTTTAACGGTTTTAAAAAAAAACAGATAAAATTTTTCCGTCTTTTACTTTTTCTCTATTTATAATTCAAACAAAACGAATGATGAATTCTGTAAATAGATAGAATATATTTATAAGCGATTTTAGTGCTTTTAACAGTTTTAATTATTCTCTTATTTGTGTATTGAAAATGGATTGAAAAGTATGTATTATTTTTTGGTATTTTATTAGAAACTGCCACTTTTTTATCACAAGTTACCATTTATAGCTTCCATGCTTTATATAATTAATTAATAAAATGAATATATAGGTAACAATATACTACAATAAGGTAGCAAAATATATTTTTAAGTAAAAATTTCACAACAGACATTAGACATTTGACCATATTGGTTATTTTCTATTAACCAAAATGGTCGACCGTCTAATATAATCGGTTTTAGTCATGTAAGTTCTATTTTTTATAAATATATTTCGACAAAAATAATACAATATATTATTATGTAATTGTTACGAGTAGTATTAAATACAATAAATAAAATTAAAGTATTTTACAGAAAATAAGTACTTATGTGTTTTTTTTTTAATTTCTCCCTTTACAGACTTTGTTATAAATTCATTGATATCAAAATGAATCCTCATCTAAAAATTATAATGCATAACCAAATAAGCACGCTGTATATTTTAATTGTGTTGTGTCATGTAGCTGGCAATAAGAGAGAGAGCGGGAAACAGACAACAAGATGGCGTAGTTAAGGCAGTATTGAGAGTATAAGAAGTAAACTTGTAAAAGCTACAAATACAAAGTTACAACAATAAAACTAAAAGTAGTTTCACTAATAATACATGGTGGCAGCAATGGGCACAGAAGAAGAAGAAACCATGGCGCAACAAATCTTTAACATTTGTTCGACTGCACAAGTGACGCCGCCGGGGCCGTTTGACTTTAAACCTGAAAACTGGAATAAATGGAAAAAACGATTTCAAAGATATATTTCCATAACTGAAGTTTCTTCGAAATCAGAAGAAGAAAAAATTGATTTGCTTTTATATTTGATGGGAGATCAAGCGGAAGAGTTAGTAGTGCAGCTGGGTATCGGAAACACGGAATCTTTAATACAATTACTGGAACAGATTGACCAACATTTCCATCCCAAAAAAAATATACTTTATGCAAGATATAAGTTTAATTCAAGAAGTCAAGTTCCTGGAGAGTCTGTGGAGGAGTATATCAGGGCTCTTTTCGTTTTATCAGAAGAGTGTGAATTTGGTACTCTGAGGGATGAATTAGTAAGAGACAAAGTGGTTGTTGGAGTAAATAGTCAAAGAGCCAGAGAAAAAATGTTATTAAATGTAAACTTGACTTTGGAACAGGCGGTCACAGTGGCACGAAATGTAGAAGTATTTGAAAATACAAATTTTAATGTAGAAAATGAACTTAACAGAATAAAGAAAGAGTGTTGGTTTTGTGGCAGAAGTATTCATACCAATAGAAGTCAGTGTCCAGCAGTGAAGGCAACCTGTATGAAATGCAAAAAAATTGGACATTTTGCTCGATGTTGTTGGGGAAAACAAATTAATTCAAAAAATAAGATGGCTCATAGTGAAGTTAGGGTATGTACTATTACCAGTAAATATTCAGCAGACATTGAGGTATATCGAAATAAGGAATATAAGTGTACATTAAAATTTTTGATTGATACAGGAGCAGATATAGTTGCTGTTCCAGAGCAAAATGTCAGTAAAACAAATTCTTTACTTCCATGTCAAGTCAATATAAAAGGACCTGATGATGCAAAGTTAACAGTATTAGGGGTATTGGTAGCTACACTGAAGTATGAGGACCGGGAGTATACAGGTGATATCTATGTAGTTCGAAATTTAAAATTACCAATCTTAGGTGTACCTGCTATTGAAAGTATGGATATAATAAAAATACTAGGAGTCAATAATATATCGTGTTTACAAAAAAGCAAAATTAATGTAGAGAAAGAATATCCAAAAATTTTTGAAGAACTAGGAGTATTTAAGAGAAAGTTTAATATTCAATTGTGTGACAAAACTCAAGGTTACATACAGTATACACCAAGAGTTGTTCCTATTCCTTTATTAGATAAGATCAAGGTAGAATTAGATAGGTTATGTAAACTAGGCGTAATGGTTAAAGTTGAAGAACCAACTCAATATGTTTCCCGCTCTTTCTCTTATTGCCAGCTACATGACACAACAAATTGTATTACCGATAACGTGTAACATCTGCAAGAAAACATAATTGTGATTTGCCTTACTAGAAATTACTTAAAATTTAATAAATATGTTATTTTTAACTTTTATAATTCACATTAGAATAATACCCCTACCGAGTTATTCATGCTTAAGAGGACTTGAAAGAGAGTAAATATCTTCACTTCAGTTAAGTAGGTACCTACTCTGATCATCAACTTGATAAAAACAAGTTAAATGGTAGCGAAATGGGATGGGAGATGATTTAATTGGTGTTTTTTTTAGTACCTACTTTTTAGAGTATAGTTATTTACGGAATTTCTACCGAGTACCACATACATATCTTATTTTTTTATCAATAATAATTGAATCCAAAATTTATCAAGTATAATTGATATCGTAATTACTTTGTTGATGAATATTTTTTTTTAATAGTGCTATACGAAATTCAAACCCGTAAGTATTTCAGGGTACAATCTGTAAAAATAAAAACTAGAGATAGGTAGTTTATCTGGACTTTTGAGTAACAATCAGATATTATAGGTATTACACTTTACTTGCAAAAACAATTTAAAAAAATTAAACCGACTGAAAAAAATCGTGGTAAAGAGAGAAATAATATCACATTTTTTTTTGTATCTATACTATATAAAAAGAGATGTCCTGAGACACTGACTGACAGAAACGCATATCCCGAAACCACTGGTCGTAAAGACGTGAAATTTGGACGGTTCATTCCTCTTATTACGTAGAGGTGTACTAAGAACTGATTTTTGGAATGCCACCCTAAAAGGGGTTAAAGAGGGTGGAAACGTTTGTATGAAACTTCTTTGTTTTTGGACCTATATCGACCAGAATTGGTATTTCTGTAGTTTAAGACCCTGCGAAGATAATTGATTATATCCCGAAAACTAGCACTTAGAAAATGGGAGCAGAAGTTTTTATTGGGAATCAAAATGTTACCATAACATTGTAATAAATCTGTCGAATATTATTTAAAAAGATTATAAAGATTTTGAAGATAGTAATGAAAGTTGATATTTGAGTACATCATTTATAACAAAAAATATATTTTAAATATAAATCTTTGAAAATATTGAAGTACAAATCAATTTATATACGGATGAATTATACTACCTCTAGATGGCGTTAAGTAGAATTCTAGATCGAACTATTTTGGTCAAAATTGAGTTTGAAAATAAAATTTGGTAAGAACTTTAAGCTTGCTGTATTACTCAGACGGCATTTATTCTAAACTAAACTGCATTATCGTTTTGTTCAAAGAACTTTGCAGAGATTTCAGTTTTCGATTAAGTTTTGTGTAATCTTTAGATTAACAAATTTGTGTGTTTTTTCCAACTGTTTTTAAAATTGAGTAAATAGTTTGAAATCCTGAAACATATTGGACATTACATGTGTAATTAATGTATTAATATTTTTTTGTTCTGTCTTAATTTATATTATAGTATTATATATTTCAGATAGCTTATTATAATTTCAAACAATATTGTGTACGCCAGTTATTGGATATCGTGAAAGCTCTGTACAATTACTCTCAAATAAAAAAAAATTACATGTATAGTTGTTGTTATATTAGTTATTTTATTCTATTAATAATTGTGTTTCTTATCGTGATCCTTGACAATTAACCAGTACCTTGGGCTTTGTACTTCCTTGGGCTTTGGGCTTTGTACTGATCGACGTTTAGCCATGCAACTGTATTCCGCTATTCTATTATAGGGCTAGCCGCCTAATTAGACGGATGCTTTTCTATGTTAGCCACAGTGTTTTTTTTTCATTTACGGGAAGCTACTTAATACGCGTCATAAGCTATAATTTACGTAGGCGAAGTCACAGGAAAACAGCTAGTTTGATAGAAATTGGTTCACACACAATTTAAGAAGAAATCGTTTATAAAATACATCCATGAACATATAAAATCCTCTTTTCTGATTTTGAATGAATTGTAAATACGCAATACGCAATTTTGTTTTTAGCTGAGATACATGAAAAACATAGCATTTAAATATTTAGGTGACATATGGTGAAAAACTTATTTGTTTTTGTCACAAAAGGAAAACTACTGAATCGATTTCGATAAAATGCAACGGAACCACCAACGTCCATCGAGCTGTCGTATAAAATAATTTTGAAAATCGATCGACAAGTGGCGGAATTATCGGTTAAAAAAAAACATACATCGCGTCGAACATATAACCTCGTTTTCTCTTATGTTCTTTCCTAAGTTGAAAAATAGTTAATCAAAGAAAAAAGTATAATTGCAATCCAATTTCTAATTTACGAGAAATACGTTGTCAAACATATAGACACACATATATAACATACACCTGAGCAAAAATAGCACCTCGCTTAGAACCGCATATAGGCTAACATTTAATAATATTGCGCTATATTCCAACAAAATTTCATGCTTACAGATCAAATTGATAACCTCATGTCTTTTAAGATCGGGTAATGACGTACTTAAATAGGTAAACTGTTTTATATAGTTAGATAAAAAGTAGGTCATCAATTTTAACTCCTTTATGTCTTCTAATTTTTTACTCCTTTTATAAGTAGACTAAATAATAATTATTTGTATCTTGTCAATCCAACGTCTAATTT